CGCAGTACCGTGTTAAATGGTGGGTGCAAACGACTATCCAGCGATTTCCATCAGAAGACCGGGAAAAGGGTCCAAGGAGGTATATCCCGAGTTGCTCGAATGAAGTTCTAGGGGGCGGCACCGGATGTAACCGCCCTAAAAGAGCACTTGTTGGGCGCTTATGACGTTGACACTCGTTACAGCTAGACACGTATTGTTCCGTCGTCTGGCGCATTTTGGGCCAGTAGAATCTTTCTTGAAGACGGCACAGAGTTTTCGCTGTGCCTAGATGACCGGATGTTGGGTCACCATGCATAGCCTGCAAAACATAAACGCGAAGACTATTCGGAACAACCAGAAGATATCGTGAGCCGGTGTTGGTGTAGTTCTTTTTGTAAAGTACCCCGTAGATGCAGAAGCGCGTAGGCGATGATTTTGGTTTGGTAGCAAGAAGCTGTTGTATGGTGCTGTCCCTTTGTTGCTCATTCTTAAAGGTCTTGTTATCGGGAAATGGTTGGTCGAGTGATGCAATGTAGGTATCGAAAGTGTCCGCGTCACATTCCATCGTTGGAAGCGGTAGTCGCGGAAAGACAATCTGCGTCAGCGTGACGTCGGCCGCTTTTATAGGAAACCGTGAAGTCATATTCTTGTAGACGAAGTGCCCAGCGCGCCAGCCGACTAGATGGGTCACGCAGGTTGACCAACCAGAAGAGAGAATGATGGTCTGTCACGACGGTAAAAGGGCGTCCGTACAGGTAGGACCGGAAGCGCTGCACTGCGAAGACTACTGCAAGGCATTCTTGCTCTGTGACAGTGTAGTTACGCTCGGACTTGCTGAGCGAGCGACATGCATACGCTACGACGTGTTCTTGATTATACAAGTGTTAAACCAGGACAGCACCTTCACCAATACCGCTGGCGTCTGTGTGAATCTCAGTGGGAGCGAGAGGATTGAAGTGTCGAAGAATCGGATGGGACGTGAAAAGAAACTTCAACTCCGAAAAAGCAGACTCGCACTCCGGGGTCCAGTCAAACTGCGCACCTTTCTGAAGCAGACACGTGAGTGGGTATGCGATATTGGCAAAGCCAGGAATGAATCGGCGAAATAACTATAACTATAGTTATAGTTATTGTCCACAATGTATTTCCTAGCCTAATTGTCAATGGAATTACTGTAGTGTCTAACATAAAAATAAGCCCCTCTGAAAATCTCCCATAATTTGCATTCAGTTGGCACGCTATAACTGGGTCATAACATCCCAAGTCAACCAGTGTTTTTCAGACCATCCCAAATGTGGCCGAAAACTTTCACATTTCTCAAAAAACACGTCCTGGTTGTTTATTCTTGTTGTCAAAAGTTTTTGTGCCTATTGTAAGTCTAGTTACGTGCCGACTGAGCAAGAGGGAGTCAAAAAACTTTTTTTCATAAAATTTTTTGTAATTCACTCGATAAAATGGTACTTGTGGCAAGGTAATGAAGCAATGTAAGTGTAAAAATAATGACTCATTTATGCATACCTATTCTCCGAGGGTTTATCACACCAGCAAAACTGAATACTTGCGAAATTCGGTTGTTCTTTTTTTTTCAGGAAACATGCCAAGCTCAAAGGGCACAGATAGATTATGCGCAGCTGGCGCCACCGTAATACGCTCTCTCTATTTTCGCGGAACGCTGCAGTAACTGGTATCGATCTCTGTCGGGTGAACTCCAAGCTCTCTCAGGGTGTATCTACCGGCACTGGTGGTAGAAAGTTTCCACTGTCATTTTGGTTTGCTCTCGGTTCTGTGCGTCCGTGCACGTCCTGTCACGCACTTTTTCATTTTCTTTCCACTATCCGCCTGTGCTATCGTAATGCGTCGATAAACAAGCGTTGCATCAAGGGTAATGCTGGACATGATTTAAGCAGTAAAAACTTAAACAAAAGCTTGCTTTACTTAAGGTACCCCGAGCATCAGGTGACGTTTCTTCTGAATGCTTTTGGCTTCCTTGTTATTTAAAATTTTTTTCACACCACCCACAACCGCATCGATATAACACTCCTTTAAAAAAAACTAACAGCTCACTGCCTGCATTCATTTATTACCAAGATAAACATTGCCAAAGACAGAACAAAAAAAATTGCCCGCAGCTTCCCTCGGGGGAACACTGAGGAGGATGCGGACCATATAATTGGTTAACGGGGTGTTAAAGTGCGACTTACTTGGGTCGATGGCTAAATTGGTTAACGTGGTTGTGAAATGGGGTGTTAAATTGCGACTTACTTGGGTCGATGGCTAAATTGGTTAACGTGGTTGTAGGAGGGGGTGTTAAATGAGTGAACACGTACACACGTATGCAAAAGGGCGGCGCTGGTCGAAGGGACGTCGATCATTGTGTTTGTGGATTCGTTGGAATTCATTTCACCGCGACCTTGGACGTCGACGCGCCGTACAAACCAACCGACGAGCGGCAACTGAGCGAGCGAGCGCCGACCTTGAGTATATATACAGCACGACGGCGCATGCACTGTCAGCTGTTGAATGTTCTCGAAGCGCGACGCCACATGCGCGTCCACTGGAGAATCAGGAGAATTGTAGATGTCGAACGCGGTGTGTAGAGGAGGAAGGGTGCACAGATGGTGGAGGAGTGAAGCGCGCGCGGTGTGTAGAGGAGGAAGGGATGCACAGATGGTGGAAGAGTGGGCGACGGCGCAACGGCGCATGCGCGCGCGTCAGCTGTCGAATGTTCGAGAAGCGGTGCGGACGGCGCACTAAAAGGCGCGAGTATAAGATGCTCCGCATCTAAAACACTTTCCACAAAAAAAAAGTTCACCGAGTGTCGTCCACAACAAGCACACTCCACGTCGGCAGCTTGCCTGGAAGGTTCAACACGTACATCAGGGCTGCCTACTGCTGCGGCGCTGGTGGTGGTAAACCCGGCTGCGAGGACGTGTACCTGCTGACTGCTTTGGGTTCCCTCAGAGACAGCATTGCGGGCCAGCTCACCGGGCCGCAGCAGCCGCGTCACGGTCTGTATCTCACGCGCAGTGATAGTGCTGCGGTGAGAACAGATGCAAAGCTTGGCTGCCTCTTCGCCGTTATGGTCCAAGATGTCGGCCACGAAGCTGTTCATTATGGCCATCGCTTTGCCCGAAGCAGCTCGTAAAACCGCAGTCTTGCCGCCCTTGGCCTGCGCCGTTTGCTGCTGTTCAGCTGACGGTTCCATTTTTGTCGTCTTCGTCAGCAGCTTAGATGGCAGAAGCGTCGCTAAGTCAAAGACGTAGGTGCAGCTCCTCCGGTTGACGACCATCAAAATGGCGGCCGGTGGTGGCTGCGCTCTTTTTATCACGATCGCTGTGGTACGTGCACCGTCTCGCGCGTCGCCACGCGCTATCTCGGTCGCTTCATATGACGTCATATTAATTTCGCACTGTGGAGCCACATGACGAGCGCTGAATTGTTCGATGTGGATAGCTGTCAGGGAGGAAGTGCACTCGAAAGAGCATCGCCGTGGTATATGGTGTCATTATTTGCAGGTATTATGACTGCAAACCAACAAAACCTGTTGTAAATGCTTTATAAACAGTGCCGTTTTTTATTGCAAATCGTGAATTGTTCTTGCGTAATTAAAGATGCAATTTTTAAACACAATGCTAACCAAACAAAATGCCCCCGTCTCTTTCCGCGTGCTCTACACTGTAAACAAAAATAAGACCATAAGGGTGTTTTAAGCATGTTATGTGCGCTTTTTTCCACCCATTTTGAAATACGAACTCCCTTGAAAGGGGATAAATTGGGCTGAAACCTTTGTTTTAGCATTATCATCAAAAATGGGACTGTATGGGAGTTAAACCGATCTGAAATGGGAGGGACTGAAAAATAAAACGAAAAAAAATTGGCGTGGGTCAGAAAATTGTATCTGAATACGCCCATTTCGACAAGAACAAACAAGCGCGAAGGATCGTTCTAAGCCTCAGCGTCAACGTCGCAAAAGTTATTTCAGTAGGCAAGTTTGAAATAGCCCGCACCGCGCTGACGCTCTTGAAAAAGTTCATAAACCGCGCCTCACGTCCCGGCGTATCAAGAACGACACGCACGCGCGGAGAAGAAAGTTGTCCGGACCAACGCCTCCTCTAGAAAGATGCCTACCGCATGAGAAGAAAAACAGCTCCCACACTCTTTCCTTCTTTCATTTTAAAATGTTCTCGGTCGCTAGCGTCACTTGTGGCGGATGGTAACACAACGCAACACTTTGCATAGCCTCCGAAACAGTGATGCACAATTGCAGGTCTCGATCAACTCTCGACTGATGCGCCCCTATGGGCCGCAGATGAAAAACGCTTTGCTGATACATATGGATATGCAATTGTTCTATGCACTGTTGAAACCCCGTGATAGACAAAGGGATTTGTAAACGTTGCTAAGAGTAATGTAACTGCCAGGAGAACACTGCGTAACCAATAACGCGGCGCAGAGCACAGATATTGTCCGCCACGGCTCAGCACGAGACCTGGGGAAGCACGGTTGCTGAAAGCACGCTTCAACCAACAACAATACGATCCAGTTTTTGATTTAGCATTGTTTTTCAATTGTGACGACGGCATTTTCTGGCAGTTTCATCCACGGTCATAAAAAAGCTATCCTCCCGTATGACTCTTCCATACTATACTGGTGAAAACAGGGATCGCTTCTTCATGCCTCAACACGACTCTGACCAAGTCATGCTATCATAAGGACAGCCTTCGCTTTGACTGCCAGATTTTACACCCTCTAACTTCAAGTTTTTCTTCCACATTGCTCGTTGCCATAGTATCCTCCCTTCTCAAATAGATTGAGACTTCACTGAGCGTGCCAACACGACAGAAGTCCAGCAAGTTTGTTGCAATTTATTAGATTCACATGATTTCACACAACCTTAAGCAAATGCTCAAAGCATAACGAGGACCTCGTCTTCTGAGCCCCCTTAAAGCTTTTTCATATGCGCACTCTTGCAGGTGACGGAACAGAGAAAGAAGTCTGTTGAAAGAAACATAACAAGCCATTTGCCCCCTGTGCTACGCAAGCGGTATATAAGATACTACTCAGTTGTGGCAAAGCTTTTATCGGCCAAACAGGCCGATGCCCTAACAATGGACTAGGAGGGCCCATAAGCTATAGTGAATGCTTGGAACCATGGGGTACACATTCCTGCGCACTGCAGTGCATTTGGCTGCAATGCACTTTTCGAGAAGGCATGTGTCAAGGGCAGGGCTAAGGGCAGGGCTAAGGGCAGGTGTGAGGGCAAAACCTTGCAAGTGAGAAGGATTAAAATTGCCGCAGATGCATTCATTAGTGCATCGTCGGTGGATCTGATAATGATCCACCGATCCTTGTCAAACTCCCGTGCGCTTGTCAAATCGACTTCACAACCAGCGAAGTTTCAAACGCATTTATGGCCGCACCCAAGCATTGAACTTATGAGCACTGTCCACAGCCGTAACACTATGGAATGATGTTCCTAACACAATAGTTTCAATCACTGACCATACACCATTCCGCAACTAAGTATACCGGCATCACTTTCCGTAAAAATGTAGCTGTGTATACGTGTACATATCTGCAAATGTGTTCTGACTTTGTTTCTCGCTCGTGCTCATGTTTCGGCACCATTTATTTTGAGTACCTGCCATTTCTTCAACTTTGTATTAGACACCACCATTGAAACTACACTGTTTTTTCATGCTCTTCTTCTGTAAGTTATGTTATATTACCACATTGTAATGTTTTGTACTCTGTTCCTTCTGTTATACTTTGTTTTTTTTTGTCACCCCGCTTACTCAATGCCCCTACGGGAAACTGTAAAGTAACATGAATCAAATAATAAAACGAAATAAACTACCCTGAACACAGTTAAATCTTAATACTGATTAAGCATGCCCTATTCATCGTATCACGTTTTTTTACCCAGATATATGTGGTTGGTTCAGTGAAAATCAGGTGTGACTGTGTCTGCAAATTTGTTTTCCAGCTGAAATACTTTTCAAAATAAACTCGGGTGGAAGTTGAGCGTCTTCTAATTAGTCTTCCTTTGATTCCAAGCCTTCGCTCCTCTAGGCCAAATATAAACTAACTAGCCCAACAATGCAGTGTTTTGAAGCATACTTCCACATATTATTACTGCTGTGGCCACATGTCTACCTTAATTTAAGAACCACGGCACTTCCCAGAAGGTGTCACCCCATAATCTTTTTTTTCTGATGCGACTGCACAGTTGTTTGTAGTGTATTCGTGTTTTTCTGGTGCTTTTAATAAAATTGTTGCATGCATTTAGCCTTCATTTATCTTTGTTCGTCACCTGCTTTGTTGATGTCTTAATGCTTATGTGAGTGGAAAAAGCAGTAGAGCTTTAACAGTCAGGTATTACTTCATGTTTTGGCTGCAAGCTACACTATACTGCTCCTAACGGTGGTTACCGAAGCCATGATTTTCAAAAAAAAATCAAGCGGGTGATGTGTGACTAAACTGTCGGGCCAGTTGTTGCGCCTTACTTTTATACTGTCACATGTGTCAACCCAAGAGAGGGATTAGCACCCACGATATATATATTTTCTATATGAAACAAGCTTGCTTAGCAGTGCTGCTGTATAGGCAGTAGGGGGGGGGGGGGGGTGTAGCAGACAATAGTCAAGCATGGAGTCTGCTGTATCCTGCGCAGCTCCTTCGATACACACCATACCTCATTGTAGTAGCAAGGCCTGCATCGGGCAAACTGCACATTGAATAATTGAGCAACTGTGGAATATGCATAATGCGTAAATGATATTGGAATAGGAGGACATCTTGTTGCTCATCTCAACTTTACTGCTACAGCTTTGCCTCATGATTTTGTAAGACAATGATTTTTTACAGAAGCAAGGGTAAGTATGTTGCTTGCACTGAAGCTCGCCACATCAAAAAAAAAGGAAAGCTTTGTATCATTGATAGTTCTATATTTTTTTAAACCCATTAATTTCAATTTTAGCATTGACTTCATTGTTAACTGTTTGTGTTCGTATGTGATATGTTTTGCGGCATATGTAATGTTATGTAGCTATGGCATTTATAGGTCCCTGACTCTTTATTCACATTAGGCAAGAACTGTTGGAAAATCGGAATAATCGAAAGTCCGAAAGAAAGGACTCGCCAGAAAAAAAAGCACCTTTATTGGCCAAGTGGCAAGAAAAAATAGTGCACGTCTGCACACAAGCACAATTACAAGTGACTAATTCTGCCCGTATTTTAGCTAGTGTTTGGCCATAACTGTAGGTCATAGCACTGTTAAGGTATGTGCTAAATATGCATCGCATTTGTGTGGGTGGCACTTCAGGGGAGTCAACATAAGCCTCTGTTCACCCATCATTGCCCGACTCAAACTCCTGAGCAGCATCAGATTAATGTCACCCACCATTGGTCTTGCAAGTTATTGCAGCTTCTTTCAACGCTATCTATGTCTTGTAAATTCTGAATCCTCTTGTTGGTGCTAACGACACAAATAGAATTGGTAGCGTTGGAGCCTTTTTAGCAGGCCTTGCAGCAAACAAGGGAGCGAGACACAAAACACGCGTGACCACATAAATACTTGACAAGCAAACTCTCAAATGCCAAAAGGAACTAAGTTGCATGAAGCTAGTTCATGCTGCAGCACTCGCGTTTCTCTGTTTGCTGCGTACGTGTGGCCAATTCGAGCGATAATGAAGCCGATGCTGAGTATGGCGTGGCTTGGCTTGCAGTTTGGTTGTGGTAGTCATTCAATGAATACTCTTAAAAAAACGGCCATTACGTTCAGCCCAAAAACAGAAGGCCTTCGAAATCTGCCTTTCTGCATTGACTTTTACCCTGACACAATCTCCAGTCATAGCAACTGCAACTTTTTAGTGTTGGCAACCTAGCGAAACTATTGTAAAAACAACGCGGGGAGCTGGTTATGGCATTCCATGCCGCATTCAATCAGGCAGCCGGAGTCCGGAAAATCTGAACGGTGCACCGTGAGGCATCCAACTTTTTGGTCCTGTATTTGCAATGCTTCTAAGCGGTTAGTGGCGGTGCCACAGAGATGTCCAAATGAATGAGCATGTTAGAATTTTCAGTGTCTGAAAAAACTGTGGGTCACTGTACATGTTGCAAAAAGAACAAAAGTTGTTTGGGCCAGTGCTGGTCTCTTTTATTCTTCAGGGAGTCTGCCTGGCTTGCACTCAAGATTTCTTAAAAAAAAGGATGTGCTTTGTGACAGACAATTATTAATATATATAAACAGTGTATGTGCATAAAAAGTATAAGAAAGAACCTTTTTTTTTCTAGCATGATTACATCACAGGCACACATGCAACGCGCACACACTGTGGTGGCAGATGTAACCTCCCTTATGTGCCAAATGTCAGTCATCTCAGTGTTTTGTTAGGCTAGATGAAGTTTTAGTGGACTCGTGTTGAGGGACTGTGCCAGTGTCTAATGTAGCAACCGAATAAATAGCGACATGACTGTGCATCAACGTGTGAGTTCGCCTCCCAATACATGACCACCTGACCTAAATGAAGTTTCTAAGATTCCCCAATTTTCTTACTGCACTTAGTACAAGCAGACTCTTGCCTGTTCACCAAAGTGAAATCTACCTGCAATGCACATCACCATGCTACTCCAGAGAAACTTGTGCGCGTGCCCTTTAAAGACTCCTGACAGCGAAAGATTTTTTGCAACTTTTTTACAGGAATTTTAGCTTTTCTTGTGGTAATACCGACATTGAAACATAACTGCTCCAACACATTGTATAATCAATACTAGTGCATTAATTACGATATTGTGTCGATTGAAAATGCCTACCTAAGTATCCTAAAAGACAAGCATCGCTCTCCCGATCGATGCTTCAGTGCATGCAGTATCAAAAATGAGTGGACCTGCAGGTGGTGAAGTATAAATAAACAATGGGAGGCCTTTGATCATATCCCCTTGTATAATCAATACTAGTGCATTAATTACGATATTGTGTCGATTGAAAATGCCTACCTAAGTATCCTAAAAGACAATCATCGCTCTCCCGATGGATGCTTCAGTGCATGCAGTATCAAAAATGAGTGGACCTGCAGGTGGTGAAGTATAAATAAGCAATGGGAGGTCTTTGATCATATCCCCCTGAGATAAAAAGAGGACAACTACTGCCGTAAGGAGCCAAAACCACTGTGAGAGCAGCCCGGCAACAAAGTGAGAGGGGTGAGGTGGCACTCCTCAACGGGTGCCAGTTAGGTTATGGTGCGCACACCACAAATGTTTTCAATTGTCGGCAATACTCCCCTTACTCATAGAATGTCACGCGCGACCTCTTTGCATCAAATCAGAGATGTCGATTGGTGCTAATAACTTGGATGAGTACTCAACCTATCCTAAAACCAAATTGAAATATTTTATAGGCAGCGCTCTTCAATAATAATTGGTCATAAGTGCCTCCGCATGCTGGACTGTCGAACAACACAAGCATTTCAAATTTCCAAATTTGTTGTCAAGGGTTGTTTAAAGGCTTTCAGAAATAATCTACAAGGATGCATTTTAGTAATGAAAGAGCCATTGGCAAAACTATGTCGGTGCTCAATACTTTAAAGGCTTTAGAATGACTTAGCAGCGTCTTGAATAAACATGTTTTTCCAAAACCTCTTCATATGCAAAAGGCTTATCAAAATAAGCTCGAATTTTCAGGGAAAGAATACACACACACAGAAGTACAGGTTGCAACAAATATATGGCTACACGACTCATGTATGTGCTGGGAGTGTTAACACTGCTAGTAGCCGTGACGGCGAGTATGGAACACTTTTCCCGCTTGCTGGAATGCTAAAGCACGTAATACTGTAGGTGTTGGAAGCTGACTAATTATCTTTACATACTACCTGAGGGCATCCAGTCTGACAGAATGAGACCCTCACTATGAATGAACAAAATGAGGGGAACTTTAACGGCTTGTGCACCTGCGTTAGATACCTTTGTTAAAACTAATGACAAAAGAAATTGGTGGAGTATCATACGTATTTCAAGTTAGCAGGTTTGGTCTTTGCCAAAAGAAAACTATCATTTTGCGCACCTTTCCCACAATTACACTATAATTACTTGAAATAACACCCCTTATATTTTCATTGATATTAATGTGATTATTAACATTTTGTTAAGGTTGGAAAACGAACTCTTATCATTCCCCATTTTCTCGTTCATTCCATACTATGAAGAGATTTAGTGATGATGAGCACCTTGCATGAAACAAAGGTCTAGCATGAATCTTCTCACAGGCACTCAGGTTTCACCTCCCGAATTAAGGCATAAATAATAGGAGGCGTTGAGAAAACAGTGAGTCCATTGATCTCTGTCTACCCTATTTTCAAATTCTCCGACATTATGGTGAGGCGATGCTTCCAACTTTCTTGTTGGGTGCTTTCGCAACAAGCTTCGATTTTTTTTGAGAAACTTGTTTTTGTTTTTGAAACTAATCTTTTCCCTTACCTTACATCACCACAGTCATTTGAATTAGGGCCCATAGTCAAGAATGAACCAGTTAAAAAAGTCTTTCAGTACAATCCCGCTTTCGAATGCTGGTTCTTTTAAAACTCTGCTGTGCCCTATTCTATGCTGTTTCGGCTCACCGAGCACTTGGCATGTTCTTCATGCAACACATATATATATCTATGTCCGTGATACCACCAAAATAAGACATTGTTGTGAAACATGCCTTGTTAACCTTAGTTGGACAGACCATGCGTGGTTAAAGAACATTTTCCTATTGGTTCAAGAGCGTCGACACTGAACGTTTAAATTTTGCTCAGTTTGGTTTAGTGTTGCAATAGTGTTGCGTTTGTGCTAGTCCGTTCGTATGTGATATTAATCCTGTCTCGTTACGCTACCTGCAATGGCTTTTATGTCCAAACTCGAAGTAGTCCAATCATCAACTCTTTTTTAAAGTGCTGCTTTTGTTTCTTCTATCGCAGGAACGAGCGCAGTTTTGGCCTTACGTGGTGCCGAAAGACATTGTCCCTGCACTTCACTATGATGGACAGCTTGTTTTTAAAGCGTTATTGCCATTTTCTAGTATAGCCTACCTACTTGTGCCTCATGTGAAATACACTTGAAAAAGCACACAGAGAATTGTTCACAGAACATGCATTATTCGACTTTTATACAAAAAGCTGCATTTCGAAGCCTCGACGTGAATTAAAAAAATTAGTGGCGACTATTTTGCCTTGCTGCTCTTTTTTTTTCACAAAAGTGCTTTTGTCCGGGTACTATCTTGATAAGTTTGATATAAGTTAATGGTAACGTTTTCATTGACATTACCTTTGCCTTAAGAGTGGTGGCAAGGTATTTAAACCAACACATAGTTGTATGAACGCTGACTCAATGTGATTTTTTATGGAGTCGAGGTTCGTGTATACTCTACTGGTTTTGTGACTGGGCGCAGATAGGTCATTGACCCGTGCATACATGTTTAGTATGTTGTTCCTTGCAAACCAGTGCAAGAAAGCTTAATACAAAATTTTGGTAAATATAACAGGTTGGTTGGTGTTACATTCAGTGCAGCATTGATTTTTCACCTGCCATGATCTCTGTAATTGACACCATAATTAATACACTATAGTTATAGTTATTGTCCACAAGGTATTTTCTAGCCTAATTGTCAATTGAATTATTGTTGTGTCTAACATAAAAATAAGCCGCACTGAAAATCTTCCTTTTTTTTTTAATTTGCATTCAGTTAGCACGTTATAACTGGGTCATAACATCGCAAGTCAACCAGTGTTTTTCAGACCATCACAAATATGGCCGAAAACTTTCACATTTCTCAAAAAACTCGTCCTGGTTGTTTATTCTTGTTGTCAAAAGTTTTTGTGCCTATTTTAAATCTAGTTACGTGCCGACTGAGCTAGAGGGCATCAAATAACATTTTTTTTTCATAAAATGTTTTGTGATTCACTCGATAAAATTGTACTCGTGGCAAGGTAATGAAGCAATGTAAGTGTAAAAATAATGACTCATTTATGTATATCAATTCTCCGAGGGTTTATCAAACCACCAAAACTGAATACTTGCAAAATTCGGTTCTTTTCTTTTTTTTCAGGAAACATGGCAAGCTCAAAGGGCACAGATAGATTATGTGCAGCTGGCGCCACAGTAATACGTTGTCTCTGTTTTCGAGGAACGCTGCAGTAACTGGTATCGATCTCTGTCGTGTGAACTCCAAGCTCTCTCAGGATGTATCTACCGGCACTGGTGGTAGAAAGTTAGAAAGTTTCCACTGTCATTTTTTCATTTTGGTTTGCTCTCGGTTCTGTGCATGTCCTGTCACGCACTTTTTCATTTTCTTTCCACTATCTGCCAGTGCTATCGTAATGCGTCGATAAACAAGCGTTGAATTTAGGGTAACGCTGGACATGATTTAAGCAGTAAAAACCTAAAGAAAAGCTCGCTTTACTTAAGGTACCCCGAGCATCAGGTGACGTTTCTTCTAAAAGATTTTGGCTTCTTTGTTATTTAAAATTTTTTCACACCACCCATAACCGCATCGACAAAACACTCCTTTAAAAAAAACTAACAGCTCACTGCCTGCATTCATTTATTACCAAGACAAATGTTGCCAAAGACAGAACAAAAAGAAAACACTTTCCACAAAAAAAAAAGTTCACCGAGTGTCGTCCACAACAAGCACACACCGCGTCGGCAGTTTGGCTGGAAAGTGCGACACGTACATCAGGGCTGCCTACTGCTGCGGCGCCGGTGGTGGTAAACCCGGCTGCGAGGACGTGTACCTGCTGACTGCTTCGGTTCCCTCAGAGACAGCATGGCGGGCCAGCTCACCGGGCCGCAGCAGCCGCGTCACGGTCTGGATATCACGCGCAGTGATAGTGCTGTCGTTAGAACAGCTGGAAAGCTTGGCTGCCTCTTTGCCGATACGGTCCAAGATAGCGACCACGAAGCTGTTCATGGTGGTCCTTGCTTTGCCCGATATTCCAAGGTCAGGGTGAACTTGCTTGAGTACCTTGCAGATGTAATGGCTGTAGCCCTCACGGCGGTGGCGACGGCGGCGACGGCGCTTCTTGGCACCGTCAGTGGCACTCACTGTCGGAGCAGCTCCTAAAACCACAGTCTTGCCGCCCTTGGCTTGCGCCGCTTGCTGCTGTTCAGCTGACGGTTCCATCTTTGTCGTCTTCGTCAGCAGCTTAGACGACAGAAGCGTCACTAAGTCGAACACGTAGGTGCAGCTCCTCCGGTTGACGAACGTCATAATGGCGGCCGGCGGTGGCTGCGCTCTTTTAATCACGATCGCTGTGGTACGTGTACCGTCTCGCGCGTCGCCACGCGCTATCTCGGTCACTTCATATGACTTCATATTATGTTCGCACGACGGAGCCACGTGACGAGCACTGATCGAATTGTTCGATGTGGATAGCTGTCAGGGAAGAAGTGCACTCAAAAGAACATCGCCGTGGTATATGGTGTCGTTATTTACAGGTATTATGACTGCAAGCCAACAAAACCTGTTGTAGATGCTTTATCAACAGTGCCGTTTTTTATTGCAAAGCCTGAATTGTTCTTATATAATAAAAATGCAATTTTTTAAACAGAATGCTGAACATAACAAAATGCCCCCTTCTCTTACCGCGCGCTCTAGTGATTTTTTTAAGATTTACGCCACTGCAGCAACCTAATGTATCTGAAGAGAAAAAACGCATTTCATTGTGTTAGTATATGACACGACGTTAGCAGGGGCGCTGTTTCGGGCGCGAAAGCTATCGGGGCACAACTGTTATTGTTGAATGTGATACGGCTACCTCGAGAAAGTTCAAATGCAAGCTTCCCGAATACATATCGTTAAGGAACGTATATAAAGGTTAGTTACCTTAAGTTTTACGAGAAACCATAGGTGAAATTCAGCGCAAGTTTTCATTTATCGGGGAAATTTTTTCTTACTGAGAGGATATACAAGACTGTATGCAACAACTATTTCAGACACGTCTTTGCATCTGCCATTTGCACAACGTTTAATTTCAGGCTGTAGACGGATAATGCCCTCGTGAACTGAACTATTCTTTCACGGTAAAAAGAAGCAAGAACAAAGTGACACAGTCAATATTTAGCGACAATAAGTGGCTATTTTGTGTATTGGCACCAAAATGCACAGCTGTCGTTGCAATGCGAAGCCCCATGATTAATGATTGGGGTTTATTGTCCTAAAACCGCCATATGATTGAGAGACGCCGTAGTGGAGGGGGCTCCGGAAATTTCAACCACCTGGGATTCTTTAATGTGCACCCAAATCTGAGCACACAGGTCTACAGCATTTTCGCATTATCGAAAATGCAGCCGCCGATAGAGGCGAAATGCAGCCACATTTTCGCCTCTATCGAAAATGCAGCCGCCGAAGTGGGGATTCAATCCCGCAACCTGCGGGTAAGCATCCGAGTACCTTAGCCACTTCAGCACCGCGGCGGGGCATGCACCCGCTCATCTAGACCATCGCCATTATATGGTGTAGAAGCTGGTCATCCCACAGGGGCGCCTGCGCAAGTAAGCGTTTAGTGTGTAGCGACACCACGGACCCGAGCTAACGGGGGAGTTTTGACTCCCTCCCACGCCTAGCCGTGCGTGGCTTTGCCGTGTCCGGGGAAAAGGGGATCCGGGGGTTGAGCCGACGCTGGATGCTTGGATCTTTAAGGCCCCTCGGCAGAGGCAACACACCCCTTTGGCCCTGGCTTCACGTAGACGGCACCCCCAGATTGACCCGCCTGGGGGGAATCGGCAGTCGCCTTTTCCTGTCTCCCCTTCACATCTTCGTCTTTTCTCTTACTTCAAATCTTTCCTGTCCTCTACTCTTTTCCGTTGACTTCCGTGTTTCCTGGCGGCAAGGGTTAACCCTGTGTGGCTATCCTACCCTGGATACACCATATTCGGTTATAGTGGTGGTGTACAGCTGGCGTCTGCAGGTCCTGTGCTCACAGACCCTGCGGCGTCCCCTTGTAGAACTCCATGGTGGGTGGCTGGCGCCGCTGCTGAAAATAAACCTTTTCTTATGGCTTGTTCCTTCCCCCCCACTCCCTGATCGCCCTCAGAAAAGAGGGCGCACCGATGAAGTATTCCAGTTTTTGGTCACCAGAGAGTATCCTTTCCCCAATTCCACGTTATCCACGCTGACACACCCGGCAAACCAGTGAGAACAATTTCACCTTTTCTTGTTTCGAAGTCTTTGACAGAAATCTTTGGCCCAGGATATAAAGCATCGAGAATGGCAAGTGGTGACCTCCTGATGGAGCTCCGCGACCAGAAACAATATGAGAAACTGCCTAACCTAGTGAAATTTGGAGATACCAAAATAATAGTAACCCCACACCGAACCATGAACACCACCCGTGGTGTTGTTTCAGATGATGATCTGTTAGGGCTGACTGAGGCTGAACTCCTGGAGGGTTTCAGCGAACAGAATGTCATCAACGTGAAACGAATTAGGATGAGACGTGATGGTAAAGAAGTCCAGACTAAGCACCCATTACTTACGTTTAATTCAAGTGTACTGCCCGACTCCGTTGAGGCTGGGTACATCAAGCTTCGAGTGAGGCCTTATATTCCAAACCCTCTACAATGTTTCAAATGCCAGCGGTTCGGCCACAGTTCGCAGATGTGCCGAGGCCACCTAACTTGCGCAAAATGCAGTTCTGAAGACCACACATCTGATGCCTGTGAAAACTCTCCTCACTGTGCGAACTGTAATGAGGAGCATGCCGCATACTCACGGTCATGCCCATGCTGGAAAGAAGAAAAGGAAATTATCACAAATAAAGTAAAACAAAACATTTCATTTAAGGAGGCACGAATGCAGGTGTCCTGCCTACCAGAAACTAGCTTTGCCGAAGTGGCGCGTCAGGGGGCAGCGCCACGACAGCCCCCGGCACCTGTCTGGCACACGCGTAGTGAGCCAGCGGTGACGCCATCCACCCCCTCGGCGGTTGCAGCAAGTGCTGCTCCGCCATCCAAGAAAGACCCACCAACCTCCGGGCTGGGGGCCGCGAAGGTCTCGTCCTTTGAGGCGAGGCCCTCAAAACAAATGCAGCGCTCGCAAGAGCGCGTGTCCAGCGCCTCGCAAGAGGCAATGGACACAACACCGAGCGTGAGGGCGCAGCCAGCGTCTAAGGATCGGCGCGACTCTGTCGACCGATCCAAAAAAGAAAAATCTCGTGTCACGGCCCCTGAAAAGGGTCTGTGAGCTTACTTTCCATCCTTGAGCCCACAACACAAAACACACCTAAAATGGACACACAAATACTACAGTGGAATGCCAGAGGCATATTTAATAACCTAGATGATATCAAAGACTTGCTTAATGACTGTCAGCCAAAAGTGTTCTGTGTTCAAGAAACTCATTTAAAGTCGACTCATGTGAATTTCTTAAATCAATATGTGGTTTTTCGTAAAGATCGAAATGGTGGCAATTTCTCTTCTGGATGTGTGGCCATCATTGCACAAAGAAGCGTAGCATGCCAGCACATTGTGTTACAAAGCTCTCTTGAGGTTGTGGCTGTTCGCGCTATTCTATTCAACCGTCTTATATCTATCAGCTCGATCTACATAGCCCCTGACGAACCATTCAATAAAACAGAGTTCGAAAAGCTCATTGATCAGCTTCCTGAACCATATGTGTTAATTGAATATTTTAATGCTCACAGTTTGCTATGGGGTGATACCAAATGTGATGCGAGAGGTCGTGCACTAGAAAACTTTCTTCTCGCATCTGGAGCCTGCCTGCTCAATAAGGCAGAGCCAACATACTTCAGTACCACACACAATACATATTCATGCATAGATTTAGCCATTGGGTCACCGTCACTCCTACCTTACTAAGATTGGAAAGTTATTAATAATCCATATGAAAGTGACCATTTTCCAACTCTTTTAGTAACAAAACAACGGGATGACCGGCCGTCTTATCCCAAAAAGTGGAACTTTCATGTTGCAAACTGGGTGAAATTCAGAGAGCTGTGTACACTACACCTCGAAAAGGTAGACCATTTGGAAGTAGAAGAGATGGCCAACTATATTTCGGAATATGTTCTTACTTGTGCAAAAAAGTGCCTACCGCAGTCCAGGAATGATAAGGTTACCGCAAAGCCATGGTGGAATCGGGAGTGTGAAATTGCTAAAAAACGGCAAAACAAAGCATGGAGGGTTTTTTCTCAACCCAACAGCAGAAGACTTGATAACCTTTAAAAGTTGCAAAGCGAATGGCAGGCGTGTTCGCCGTATTGCCAAACGGGAAAGCTGGACACGCTGTATATTCTCAATAAACTCCTACACAGACGTCAGCAAGGTTTATAATAGGGTGCATAAACTTAAAGGACAAGGCCCAAATCCCTTCCCTTTGGTGAATGACTGCGGTGATACAATAGAAGAGCAGGGAAACGCTCATGGCGAACACTTCGAGAAATGTCAAGCTCAGAAAACTATACCACTAAGTTCTTACGCCACAAAAGCATAGCTGAAAGTGTACCTCTGTGCTGGAACAAGCCTGGATCAGACGGATACAATAAACCACTAACAGTATATGAACTGAAGCTCGCCCTTGGTTCCTGTGGAAGTTCTGCTCCTGGCTCTGATACAATTACTTATGAAATGATCAGAAATCTCCCTGATGAAACCCTGAAGTGCCTTTTAGCACTTTACAACAAGATTTTCAATACCGGCAAAATACCCTCTGCTTGGAAAGAGGCAATAGCACTACCAATCCTTAAACAGGGCAAAGATCCCTCTTCGGTAAATAGTTACAGGCCTATCGCCCTCACAAGCTGCCTACTCAAAGTGTTTAAAAAAATGATTAACCGCCGCTTGGTCTATTACTTGGAATACAACGGCATATTGGACCCGTGTTAGTCTGGTTTCCGTACAGCTAGATCCACAACGGATAATCTTGTCCTCCTCGAGTCGTATATAAGTGACGCGTTTGTACACAATCAATACTATCTGCCTGTTTTCTTCGATCTTGAGAAGGCATATGGTACTGCCTGGCGATATGGAATTTTGCAAGATCTACTGTCTTTCGGAATATCTGGCAGGTTGATTACCATCCTAAAAGATTACTTGTCTGAAAGGAAGTTCCGTGTGAGAATAGGTACTGTGTTATCGCGCTCATTTCTTCAAGAAAATGGAGTGCCGCATGGAGTAGTATTAAGCTGCACACTATTTATAGTTAAAATGAACTCTCTTCGCTCTGTTATTCCACCTGCGATATCGTACTCT